CTCGTTCTTTGTGCTCCACTATTCTATTATTTAATTTAACTAGGAAATTGCAGGGTACATATGTAATATTACATATGTAACTAAGTGATTTATGTTTATAGCTCTTATTATATATTGATATGACAATATCTTCTAGCTGTTTGGAACGTCTCCCATCTCAAGTAAAGCTTTGTAAATGACTCCAAGAAACTTGCCAAGATCTTCAGTTGAATTCCTCATCATCATCCATGAAAACCAGAGGAAAATTGAAATAGGAATTTCCTTAAGGAAATTCCTGTTTCAATTTCCTCTGTGGTCTGACACTGTCACATTTTTGTGTAATGAAATTTTAAAAATAAGTGATATATATATATATATATATATATATATATATATATATATATATATATATATATATATATATATATATATATATATATATATATAGAAAAGAAGGTGGTAGAAGAAAATATCAAAGTGTTCAGTGAGGATCCCCAAGGTCTTCTCTGAATACTCTTTATTTACTTCTCCGAGGCTATGGGTCCCTACATTTGCACCAGAGGTGGTACCTTTTAGAATATACATATATATATATATATATATATATATATATATATATATATATATATATATATATATATATATATATATATATATATTATATATATATATTTTATATATCAGAAAAACTCTTCCCTGTGAAGGGTTCGAACCCGGACAGTCAGGCGCTCCAAACACCTTAGCATGTCCAGTACTATACCCGCTAGACCACAACGCTTGTACTTGAAATTTTTGTATATTCACAAGAAACGGCGTGCCTTCTACATAGTCCCGAGTGCATATGCACACGCGCGCCTGTGTGTGTGTGTGTGTGTGCGTGTGTGTGCGTATGTGTGCGAGCATTATCGCACAAGAGGTGACTCAGCTTCCACCGCACGCCACCAGGGCATGGCCGGCGCTGGCATGGAATCCCGCAGTTTAGTAATTCTCGGGTAGTTTCTGTGAGACTATTTACTTTACCTTGGCGATGTTTTGACGTGCACACAGACCTGATACAATACAATACAATACAATACAATTTTATTTAGGTAAGGTACATACATACAATAAATATTTACAAGGATTGTTTGACTTATAGGTATAGCTAGTACATACAATGCCTAAAGCCACTATTACGCAAAGCGTTTCGGGCATGGTGTGGTGGGAGCTGTTCCCTGGCCTACTGTGTCTTTAGTGGTGCTAAATTCTGCGGACGAACGTGCACTCGGTGGGAAAGAGATGGCATATGGAAAAGAAGTTTTGGCTTCTTCTGTCAGATGGACTCTGGCTGATAGCGCAATGTTGATGATCTTCCAGACACACGTCTCCTCAGTACTGGAGAAAGACTATCATAGAGAAGACTGTGCCTAAGACGAAACTATCAATGATTCTCTGACCGTTGTTCCTCTTTCTGAAAGTTCAATAGGCCTACCAGAACACCCCCCCCCCCCACTCCCGCTCTTTCACGCTGGGGGGGAAAAATGCAACTACATTTTTATTGACAGAATACCCACGTGGCCCATCCTCCAGGGGCGAAACTCTACCGAGCAAGCACTCTTCGCTCTGATCTTACCACCAGAACACACTTGGGTCCTTAGCCGGCAGAGTTTGAAGTCAGTAAGGCAGTTTGTCTCACAAGATGCCTTGCTCCTCTCGACCCCTGCCTGTATGACCGGAATTCTCATTGTCTCACAAGCCAATTTCCTCCCGTAAGGGCTCGCGGCTTGTAATTCCAAATAGCCGCATTTTATTTTATTTTTTTTTGCCTGTCGAGATACTCTCTAATAGTGGTTTAATAAATCAGGATTAACACAGGGTTACTTCGCACGCCCCGACAAGAGTTATTGGCTTGTATGATGCTCGTTGTTGGATGCTGCGTCTGAGCGAGTCCCTCCACTCTCACGAGAAAGAATTCACCCTCCACACTATATATATATATATATATATATATATATATATATATATATATATATATATATATATATATATATATATATATATATATATATATATATATATATATAAACACTTACCTTTCGATGGATATTAATAACATTTCTGGTGTTTATAAATGCTACACATGTTCCTCAGCTTTAAAGTCGATTTCTATGAAAACGGAGTTTATTTCCATGCTATTCTTAATTTAGTCCGATATGATCTGAACCTGGCATTACACGGTCTGGTCTCGAGAGGTGAAATTCCGTTGCTCCCTGTTGTTTAAGGGAGGTCATCTCTGATGCTCATTGGTCAGGGGGATGCTTACAAAATTCTCCAGAGGGTTAATCACCACCTCGCAGCGTCTCTGACAGGCAGAGTTTTCGGCTAGGGAAGATTGCCGAGAAATCGGTCTTTTTCACAGATTCTGCGGACATTAGTCTCTGTCTGCTCTGTCGGTCTGTGTATGATATCTCGGTTTGTGTTTACTATCTCGGCCTGTGTCTGCACCCTCAGCCTGTTACTGTACCCTCGGCCTGTAATGACCTGAGTGTAATTACAGGCCATGAGTTCATGGCCTGGTACATGAACAGGATGAGGGAGCCTGTGTCGTAGGGTCCGTGTTATTGTTCATACACCGAAGGGTGAGGGACCTCATTTCTTACCCACAGTAAGAATGACCTATTCGTTACATGTTGATTTGTCTTGCTTGTGTTTATTTTTATTTATGTTGCGTTCTTGTGTTTATGGTCGATGTTAACAGTGTTGTTTTTACCAGGAGAGTAGATTATCTCTACCTCTGGTTTAAGTTGGCCCAAATAGATAAGTTGAAACACAGGTGGTTGGTTTAAGTATATTCTCCATTTTATTTAAATTGCTCATGTATTTATCCGAGTAATTTTTGTTCTCCTCCTTTGTTGCCTGAACGACAGTTTGCTTCTCGTTTGTTTGGGTATTAAATAATGTTATTTCGGTAATTTTTTCACCATGATGGGATCTCTTTTGGTCTCTATTTTCTTTTGCTCTTTCTTGTTCTCTCTTTTTCTTTCTCTTTTTTTGTTTTTACCTGTCTTCTCTGCTTCTCTGAGCTTTTATCTCTCTTTTTCTTTCTCTTCTCTTTCTACCTCTCTCTCTCTCTCTCTCTCTCTCTCTCTCTCTCTCTCTCTCCCCTACCATTACCCACCTCAGCGGGATGTGCCCTGACCACTGCCTCCCTCGGGCAACTGTCTTCACATTTTTCCTCCCAGTATCTTTCCAGTATCGCATTCCAGAGTCTTCCAGTCTTTCCTTTCTCTCTCTCTCTCTCTCTCTCTCTCTCTCTCTCTCTCCCCTACCATTACCCACCTCAGCGGGATGTGCCCTGACCACTGCCTCCCTCGGGCAACTGTCTTCACATTTTTCCTCCCAGTATCTTTCCAGTATCGCATTCCAGAGTCTTCCAGTCTTTCCTTTCTCTCTTTCTCTCTCTCTCTCTCTCTCTCTCTCTCTCTCTCTCTCTCTCTCTCTCTCTCTCTCTCTCTCTCTCTCTCTCTCTCTCTCTCTCCCCTACCATTACCCACCTCAGCGGGATGTGCCCTGACCACTGCCTCCCTCAGGCAACTGTCTTCACATTTTTCCTCCCAGTATCTTTCCAGTATCGCATTCCAGAGTCTTCCAGTCTTTCCTCTCTCTCTCTCTCTCTCTCTCTCTCTCTCTCTCTCTCTCTCTCTCTCTCTCTCTCTCTCTCTCTCTCTCTCTCTCTCTCTCTCTCTCTCTCTCTTTCCCTAGAGAGTCGGCTCTCTATGTCAGAGCTTCAAATACCCAACAGAATAAATGAAGAATTCTGAGAGTTTCGATACACTGAAGAGGAGAAGAACTCTCAGGCAGCTGTACTGAGAACATCATGTCAAGAGAGCTTCAGAGTCTGACAAAAATAGTCGTGCTGGTGTTGGGTGTCAGCGGAAGCAAAACCAACAGCCTCGTAGATCATCCGTCTCTTGACGCCAAGTTTTTTCCCCACTGACTGTTTATTAATTCCCATTATTTTTTTTTAGTGGTCAATATTATTTTCAGGTTGAGCATTTATGTTAATCTTTCGTTGACATATCCACGTGTATCTAACGGAATGAGTTCGTTTACGGCTGCGACACAGATGTTCGTTTATAACTGCGACACAGATGTTCGTTTATAACTGCGACACAGATGTTCGTTTATAACTGCAACACAGATGTTTGTTTATGGCTGCGACACAGATGTTCGTTTATTACTGCGACACAGATGTTCGTTTATTACTGCGACACAGATGTTCGTTTATTACTGCGACACAGATGTTCGTTTATTACTGTGACACAGATGTTTGTTTCAGCGTCGTTGTTTCTCTGGAACTCGGATTTTTTCTGTGGCAATTTAAGAGTGAGTTTGACATAGTTTCTCGTGTCGGCGGATTCCTTCAATTGCCTTTGATTGTGGTGCTAGTGGCTGTTAGACTGCTTGAGACTCTGCAACAGCAGTTTGAGTTCCTTGTAGCTTTGTTGTACCTGCCAGCTAATTGTAGTTTTTACTGTACCTGCCAGCTAATTGTAGTTTTTGCTGTATCTGCCAGCTAATTGTAGTTTTTACTGTACCTGCCAGCTAATTGTAGTTTTTGCTGTATCTGCCAGCTAATTGTAGTTTTTGCTGTACCTGCCAGCTAATTGTAGTTTTTGCTGTACCTGCCAGCTAATTGTAGCTTTTGCTGTACCTGCCAGCTAATTGTAGCTTTTGCTGTACCTGCCAGCTAATTGTAACTTTTGCTGTACCTGCCAGCTAATTGTAGTTTTTGCTGTATCTGCCAGCTAATTGTAGTTTTTGCTGTACCTGCCAGCTAATTGTAGTTTTTGCTGTACCTGCCAGCTAATTGTAGTTTTTGCTGTACCTGCCAGCTAATTGTAGTTTTTTTACTGTACCTGCCAGCTAATTGTAGCTTTTGCTGTATCTGCCAGCTATTTGTAGTTTTTTACGGTACCTGCCAGCTAATTGCTGGCAGGTATGTTGTAGCAAGGCTAATTGCTTGTTATGTTGTAGCAACACTAGTCCCTGTTATTCAACGAGTTTAAGCTAGCACTCTCCAAAACTAGGTTGTTAGTACGAGTGTTAAATGTCGTTGATGATGCTGGGGTGTCGTTGATGATGCTGGGGAGTCGTTGATGATGCTGGGGTGTCGTTGATGATGCTGGGGAGTCGTTGATGATGCTGGGGTGTCGTTGATGATGCTGGGGTGTCGTTGATGATGCTGGGGTGTCGTTGATGATGCTGGGGAGTCGTTGATGATGCTGGGGTGTCGTTGATGATGCTGGGGTGTCGTTGATGATGCTGGGGTGTCGTTGATGGTGCTGGGGTGTCGTTGATGATGCTGGGGTGTCGTTGATGATGCTGGGGTGTCGTTGATGATGCTGGGGTGTCGTTGATGATGCTGGGGTGTCGTTGATGATGCTGGGGTGTCGTTGATGATGCTGGGGTGTTGTTGATGATGCTTTGGAGTCGTTGATGATGCTGGGGTGTCGTTGATGATGCTGGGGTGTCGTTGATGATGCTGGGGTGTCGTTGATGATGCTGGGGTGTCGTTGATGATGCTGGGGAGTCGTTGATGATGCTGGGGTGTCGTTGATGATGCTGGGGTGTCGTTGATGCTGCTGGGGTGTCGTTGATGATGCTGGGGTGTCGTTGATGATGCTGGGGAGTCGTTGATGATGCTGGGGTGTCGTTGATGATGCTGGGGTGTCGTTGATGATGCTGGGGTGTCGTTGATGATGCTGGGGTGTCGTTGATGATGCTGGGGAGTCGTTGATGATGCTGGGGTGTCGTTGATGATGCTGGGGTGTCGTTGATGATGCTGGGGTGTCGTTGATGGTGCTGGGGTGTCGTTGATGATGCTGGGGAGTCGTTGATGATGCTGGGGTGTCGTTGATGGTGCTGGGGTGTCGTTGATGATGCTGGGGGTGTCGTTGATGATGCTGGGGTGTCGTTGATGATGCTGGGGTGTCGTTGATGATGCTGGGGTGTCGTTGATGATGCTGGGGTGTCGTTGATGATGCTGGGGTGTCGTTGATGATGCTGGGGTGTCGTTGATGATGCTGGGGTGTCGTTGATGATGCTGGGGTGTCGTTGATGATGCTGGGGTGTCGTTGATGATGCTTTGGAGTCGTTGATGATGCTGGGGTGTCGTTGATGATGCTGGGGTGTCGTTGATGATGCTGGGGTGTCGTTGATGATGCTGGGGTGTCGTTGATGATGCTGGGGAGTCGTTGATGATGCTGGGGTGTCGTTGATGATGCTGGGTGTCGTTGATGATGCTGGGGTGTCGTTGATGATGCTGGGGTGTCGTTGATGATGCTGGGGAGTCGTTGATGATGCTGGGGTGTCGTTGATGATGCTGGGGTGTCGTTGATGATGCTGGGGTGTCGTTGATGATGCTGGGGTGTCGTTGATGATGCTGGGGAGTCGTTGATGATGCTGGGGTGTCGTTGATGATGCTGGGGTGTCGTTGATGGTGCTGGGGTGTCGTTGATGATGCTGGGGAGTCGTTGATGATGGTGGGGTGTCGTTGATGGTGCTGGGGTGTCGTTGATGATGCTGGGGGTGTCGTTGATGATGCTGGGGTGTCGTTGATGATGCTGGGGTGTCGTTGATGATGCTGGGGTGTCGTTGATGATGCTGGGGTGTCGTTGATGATGCTGGGGAGTCGTTGATGATGCTGGGGTGTCGTTGATGGTGCTGGGGTGTCGTTGATGATGCTGGGGTGTCGTTGATGGTGCTGGGGTGTCGTTGATGATGCTGGGGTGTCGTTGAGGATGCTGGGGTGTCGTTGAGGATGCTGGGGTGTCGTTGATGATGCTGGGGTGTCGTTGATGATGCTGGGGTGTCGTTGATGATGCTGGGGTGTCGTTGATGATGCTGGGGAGTCGTTGATGATGCTGGGGTGTCGTTGATGATGCTGGGGTGTCGTTGATGATGCTGGGGTGTCGTTGATGATGCTGGGGTGTCGTTGATGATGCTGGGGTGTCGTTGATGATGCTGGGGTGTCGTTGATGATGCTGGGGTGTCGTTGATAATGCTGGGGTGTCGTTGATGATGCTGGGGTGTCGTTGATGATGCTGGGGTGTCGTTGATGATGCTGGGGTGTCGTTGATGATGCTGGGGAGTCGTTGATGATGCTGGGGTGTCGTTGATGATGCTGGGGAGTCGTTGATGATGCTGGGGTGTCGTTGATGATGCTGGGGTGTCGTTGATAATGCTGGGGTGTCGTTGATGATGCTGGGGAGTCGTTGATGATGCTGGGGAGTCGTTGATGATGCTGGGGTGTCGTTGAGGATGCTGGGGGTGTCGTTGATGATGCTGGGGAGTCGTTGATGATGCTGGGGAGTCGTTGATGATGCTGGGGTGTCGTTGATGGTGCTGGGGTGTCGTTGATGATGCTGGGGTGTCGTTGATGATGCTGGGGTGTCGTTGAGGATATTGTTGGATGCTGGTAGGGCACCAAAGAGATAGAGAGGGGGGGCGAGGTTCCAGGTAGGCCTAGGGAGAAAAACGAGATGAGAGGGGGGGGGGAATGTTGAGGAGTTAGGCTCTAAGTAGCAAGACAACTCGGAGGGGAGGGAGAGGCGACAAGGAAGAAGGCGATGGAGAGAGGAGGGGGAGGGGGGAGAGGTAGAGTGATGGGGGAGGGGGGAGATGGAGAGTGAGGGGGGGAGAGGGAGAGTGAGGGGGGGAGAGGGAGAGTGAGGGGGGGAGGGGGAGAGGGAGAGAGAGGAGGGGAGGGAGGGGAGATGGAGAGAGAGGAGGGGAGGGGAGGAGGGGGAGGGGGGGAGAGGGAGAGAGAGGAGGGGAGGGAGGGAAGGGGAGCAACGAGTAGGGAAGCATGAGAAGCAACGTGGATGAGGTACCCTTGTCTCTCCCTTCATCACAACCCCCTTCCCCCCCACTCCCCCTTACCTCACCTCTCCTTCCCCCCCCCCCTCCACTTCCTCTGTCCCTCCCCCTCTCTTCACTCTTCTACCGTCGCTTGGAGGTGGGGGGATGAGAGGGGGGGGGAGAAGGGATCTGATGGGATAGGCAACAGGAGGATGAGGAGGAGGAGGAGTGGTGGAGGGAGGGAAGGTAGTGAGAATGAGGGGTGGAGAAGGAGGGGGTATGCACCCCCCCCCCCCCCCCGACACAAGCATAGCCAACCAGCTCGCCTCGAGCAATGACCACCTTGGTGGGGGGGGGGGTGGCAGGAGCGGGAGAAGGACAGGGGGGGGAGAAGGATATGAGGGGGGAGGGGGGGAGGTATAGATGGACTTAAGGGTAGGCAGGTGTTTCCAGGATGGGCCTACGTCCCCCTCTCCCCTCCCCCTCCAGAGACGGGACCCCAGTAACAAGAGGGGATATACACCTCTGAGACGCCCCAGCAAGCTCAACATACGAGAGGAATGAGGTGAAAACAATTGAGCGTTGCAATACACGCCTAGGAGCAGGCCGCTGGCACGCCTTGTGTCCTGGGTGTTGCCACACTCTCTCAGCCTCGTGTAGCGGCCCCTCAGCTACACCCAACACCTCGCAAATACACATATCGCACTCGGAGGAGCTATATATTCATGGGACCTCGCAAATACACATATCGCACTCGGAGGAGCTATATATTCATGGTGTTTTGTGTGTATATGTATGATGGGGTGTATGTTGTGTGGAGGAGACAGCGAGGGCGGCCTGGAGGGTGGCGAGGGCGGCCTGGAGGGTGGTGAGGCGCTGAAGACTAGCATAATACCCGCGCCAGAGGGCCGGACGCTTGCGCCACGGCCCCCGCCTCAACACTACACTCCACGCCGGCCCCTCAGCTCCGGCCTAGTTGATTTAACGTCAGTCGTGATTCCTCAGCGCCTCAGCGAGGGGGCAAGTTTGAGGTGAGGGGGCATGATGCCCCCCCCCCCCCGAACAATCCTGCTAGCGCTAATGGTGGGGAGGGGGGGTGAGTGGGGGAAGGTTGCGTCGGGCGCCGGGTAGCGCCGGGGTGGTGACGTCACACTGGGCGGGCACATGACACTTGGGTATGCGGACCTAAGCGGCCTCGCCACACCGGCCTCGCCACACCGGCCTCGCCTCTTCCCTCATCTTCATCCTATTTCTTAATGCTTGAGGGGGGCTAGGGGGGGAGCGCTGGCTGCTCCTCCCCGCTCCTCCCTCACACACACCCGCCCCGACGCTGGCCAGCGGGGCAAGAAGGGACCATAGCACACCCTCGCGGCCCTCACTTGTCACGGGTCACCAACCCTGGCCAAGATGTAAGGTAGAAGGAAAGGGAGAGAGCACACACACACGCACGCACACACATACACACACACACACACGCACACACACACACACACACACACACACACACACACACACACACACACACACACACACACACACACACACACACACACACACACACACACACAAGGGTGTGTAAGGGGCCTCGTAGCCTGGTGGATAGCGCGCAGGACTCGTAATTCTGTGGCGCGGGTTCGATTCCAGCATGAGGCAGAAACAAATGGGCAAAGTTTCTTTCACCCTAAGTGCCCCTGTTACCTAGCAGTAAATAGGTACCTGGGAGTTAGTCAGCTGTCACGGGCTGCTTCCTGGGGTGTGTGTGTGTGGTGTAGGGAAGGAAAAAAAATAGTAGTTAGTAAGTTAGTAGTTAGTAAACAGTTGATTGACAGTTGAGAGGCGGGCCGAAAGAGCAAAGCTCAACCCCCGCAAAAACACAACTAGTAAACACAACTAGTAAACACACACACACACACACACACACACACACACACACACACACACACACACACACACACACACACAAAGAATGTTCACGAGACGACACTAGTTCCTCAACCAGTTTGGGCAGCGTGGCCGCCATCTTAGTCCCCCAGCGTTGGTATGGCCACTGGGGTGATTCTCTTTTCGGCTCCCCCCTCCCCCCCCCCCCACCTTCCAATGCCGCCCCCCCCTACTCGACCGCACATCCTGGTAACTCCGACCACCGACCCCGTAGTTCACTGATCAACTGATTCTTATCTCCGTTCCCTGATAGATTATCTATCATTAATCAAGAACGCAGGGGAGGGGGGGAGGGAGAGATGGGGGGGGGGCAACACCATGATCTGGTTCTGTCGTTAAGGTTGGCAATAGTGGGCATGTCGTGTAGACCCTTTTTTGTGTATGTCTGTGTACGCGCGCGCTCTCCTGTGTGTGTGTGTGTGTGTGTGTGTGTGTGTGTGTGTGTGTGTGTGTGTGTGTGTGTGTGTGTGTGTGTGTGTGTGTGTGTACTCGTCTAATTGTATTCGCCTAGTTGTGCTTGCGAGGGGTTGACCTTTGTCTCTTTGGTACCGCCTCTCAACCGTCTTTCAACTTGTGTACTGATTCCTGAGCCTATTGGGCTCTATCATATCTACATTTGAAACTGTGTATGGAGTCAGCCTCCACCACATCACTGCCTAATGCATTCCACTTGTTAACTACCTCACACTGAAAATAATTCTTTCTAATGTCTCTGTGGCTCATCTGGGTACTAAGTTTTCACCTGTGTCCCCTTGTTTGTATTCCGCCGGTGCTAAAGAGTTTGTCTTTGTCCACCCTGTCAATTCCCCTGAGAATTTTGTAGGTGGTTATCATGTCTCCCCTTACTCTTCTGTTTTCCAGGGATGTGAGGTTCAGCTCCTTTAGCCTTTCCTCGTAGCTCATTCCTCTCAGTTCCAGGACGAGTCTGGTGGCATACCGCTGAATCTTCTCTAACTTTGTCTTGTGTTCAACTAGGTATGGAGGCCAAGCTGATGCTGCATATTCCAGGATTGGTCTGTAATAGGTGGTATTCAGTGTGCGTACGCGCGTGTGTACATCTGTGTTCTCATGTGATTAACTGTTGGGAGCAGGTGTGTGTAACCAGAACATGAGTGCAACATCTTGTGTACATATGTGCATTGTCAGATGTAGTAAGGTATGTGCTGTTGATCGTAGAATTGTGTAGCTAGTAAGGTACAGGTTGATATAATATATTTTACTGCTGGGATCTCCATACGTTGAAGATTTTGACCACAAGACTATTGACCCAAGACTATTGGAGGACTATTGACTATTTTGAAATTGAATTAACATTTAAAGCAAAGGTTGAGAGATAATTAGTTCCTTCTCTCCCTCTCTCTCTCTCTCTCTCTCTCTCTCTCTCTCTCTCTCTCTCTCTCTCTCTCTCTCTCTCTCTCTCTCTCTCTCTCTCTCTCTCTCTCTCTCTTTCGTTCTCTTTCTCTCCAGATATTTAGAAATGTTCGTAGCAACTAAATAAATTTCTAAATTCTCTATAAACGAATTCTGTGAAAAGCCTATTATATCTAAACCAATGAAAATCTATCACACATTTTCGGTAGCTAAGTTCATCTTCAGTGCGAGTTTCCGAAGCACATCTATCATGTTATTTTATTGCTTCCCTCACCTCAAGATTACCATGATCAGTGACGCCCACAGAGCCCGCCGCTGCCGAGGCTTGACACAGGAGTATGTGTCAAGGAGTATGTGGGTATGTGGGCCTGCGGGCCGCTCCAAGCAACAGCCTGGTGGACCAAACTCTCACAAGTCGAGCCTGGCCTCGGGCCGGGCTTGGGGAGTAGAAGAACTCCCAGAACCCCATCAACCAGGTATATGTGGGCCTGCGGGCCGCTCCAAGCAACAGCCTGGTGGACCAAACTCTCACAAGTCGAGCCTGGCCTCGGGCCGGGCTTGGGGAATAGAAGAACTCCCAGAACCCCATCAATCAGGTATATGTGGGCCTGCGGGCCGCTCCAAGCAACAGCCTGGTGGACCAAACTCTCACAAGTCGAGCCTGGCCTCGGGCCGGGCTTGGGGAGTAGAAGAACTCCCAGAACCCCATCAACCAGGTATATGTGGGCCTGCGGGCCGCTCCAAGCAACAGCCTGGTGGACCAAACTCTCACAAGTCGAGCCTGGCCTCGGGCCGGGCTTGGGGAGTAGAAGAACTCCCAGAACCCCATCAACCAGGTATATGTGGGCCTGCGGGCCGCTCCAAGCAACAGCCTGGTGGACCAAACTCTCACAAGTCAAGCCTGGCCTCGGGCCGGGCTTGGGGAGTAGAAGAACTCCCAGAACCCCATCAACCAGGTATCAACCAGGAGACTTCAACACTGGCAAATAATGATCCAAGTGTACGTGGACACAAATTTACATTATTTACATTATCATTGTAAATATATTGAATTTTGTAACTAGCTCATCAAGATTGTAACTTGCTTAGCTAAATGAATTGTAGGGTTCAGTCCCTGAGCCCATTATGTGCCTCTGTAACCCTTTCCACTACCGCCCACAAGATGGGTATCGGGTGCATAATAAATGAACTAAACTAACTAACATTATTATTATTTGCATTATTACAGTTATTATTGTCCTTTCTATATGTTAATACTTAGAGTTTTCTTTTGCAGGTTGCAGGCTAGAATCTTATGTACTATATCTTATGAACAGGTATCTATAACAGTGTTGGGATTTTTATACTGGAATTGAATGGTATTGTGAGTTGATTTGGTATTCAGTTATACAATTTCAGAATTGTGGAAGTGACTCTCTTGGAGTTCAATTATTTTTTTCATTTCGGGTGGAAAGAACAGCGACATTCTTTTGTTTGTGCAAAGGGAACATATGTCTAATGTCATTTCACACCTCTTGTTTGGTAATTTATAAATTATAATAATTGTAATAATTTTAAAAATATTATTTTCTGCAAAATATTACAATGGGTCTGATTTGCAATGTTAACAGTTTAAATATTTATGTTTTAGGAATATATATATATATATATATATATATATATATATATATATATATATATATATATATATATATATATATTTATATATATATATATATTGCTTATATAAATTATATATAATTTGTTTGTTAATATATTTATTTACTTAAAAGAATCCCAAATGGTTGCCTAGGGACCTAGGTTGGAACTCCAATCCAGACTTAGCCACTCCAAATGGAACCTAGGTTGCCTGGGTAGCGCCCCAGTTGGCAGAAACACTGGTGGCTTAGGCGCAAACCTTGAAGCCTCATTTGGAGTTCTTCTGAAATACTGATGCCATTCAAAGCATCATACACACACACACACACAATACACTCTCTCTCACACCTTGTTCTAGTTAGTTTGGTCAGAAAGGCGGGGTCCATGAACTAATAGCTCGATTTTGCAGACACAAATAGTAAGTACACACACACGCACACACACACACACACACACACACACACACACACACACACACACACACACACACACACACACACACACACACACACACACACACACACACACACACACACACACACACACACACACACACACACACACACACACACACACACACACACACACACACACACTAGGAGATAGAAGAAAAAGAGGAAATATGATCACCACTTACAAAATACTAACAGAAATCGACCAAATTGACAAAGAGAAGTTTATGAAACTTGCAACTTCACGAACAAGAGGACACAGATTCAAGCTAGGGGAAACAAGAGGGCCGAAAAAATATAAGAACGTTTTCTTTTGCAAACAGAGTGGTAGACGGATGGAACATGCTAAGTATAAGAAGGTGATGGAGGCCAAGACTGTCAGTAGTTTCAAAGCGTTATATGTGAAAGAGTACTGGGAAGACGGGACACCAAGAGCGGAGGGCATCCTGTAACTACACTTAGGTAATTACACACACACACACACACACACATGTCCATAATTTGTTAAGTTAATATAAAGTTATCCCCACATGCCTTTTTAAAATCAAATGATTACACGAGTGAGCTTTACTGTGGACCAGAATGAGAATGCTATAGATGTATTGTTTTCAATAGAACTGTCCTTGATAGTACTTTGGTAAGCTACTTTTGCACCAGAAAAAAATTAATCAAATCATGGTTATCTAATAGAGGCACCAACTGTACCGTCGATTTTCTTTTGAGAGTGGTGAAGGGAGATAAAGCTCTAGCATATGTTAGCATATGTTCATTTTAATTAATATTGAAGTAGCTAGGACGCAAAGACTCTCTCTCACTTCATAAAATATAGACCCATCAGTCTGGCTTCTCAAAGCTTTTCTTGTATAATAATAATAATAATAAAAATTGTGCTGTTCTCGTACACTTGGATCATTATTTAGTAGCGTTGAAATCTCCTGTACAAATCGTAGCAAAGACACGCTTTGAATGTATACAAGACCTGACGTTCATTTCACAGATTTCAGCAATCTTTATGTGTCCCAAGTGAACCAATGTGATGAGATGTGATAGAGGTGAAGAATCTAAAATTGGCAGCACCAGTTTGGAAGACAAATATAAGAGTCGAGCAAGACAAAAATAAACAAAGATAGCCCCCCCAAGACTATCGCCAGAGTCATGCATTAACTGGACCTCGTCATTGGCGTAAGCGAAGCTGGCAAACATTTGTGTCGCCTTGAGATTCCCCGAGAAGGCGACGAAGGAGAGGAATTTATGAGAGTGGGCGAGAATATATAACTGAGAAACGAGGAATTCTTGGAGAATAGTGTAAAGCGAGACATGATCACAACATATAAGATTTTTATTTTACATTGACAAGGAAGACAGTTTAATGCAATAAATAGCTTCAAAATTAAATATGACATCAGGCTCTAGGGTTGAATGTCGCGGCATTAAACCACAAACTGTACGAAAGATCCAGCACTGAAGCTAACACGCAATCCTACAGACATTCAATTGGGAGTTCATTTAGGTTAGTAAACACAAACACACACACACACACACACACACACACACACACACACACACACACACACACACACACACACACACACACACATACCAAGCTGCTCCACCCCTC